AAAAAAAAAAAACCTAGCAACTAGACATGACGAAGAGGGGTTAGCGCAGTGGCGCGTACCTTCGCTCGGCGTGTACCATGTCCCGAGTTCGAGTCACCCGGGGGGGAATTGGGGAACCAGTATTGATACCCCTTGAAAAAAAAAGAAAAAAAAAAAAACCTAGCAACTAGACATAACTAACCTAGCGACAAAAAAACAACTAACCTAGCAGCATGAAATAACTAACATAGCAACAATAAACAACTAAACTAGCAACAAGATATAACCAACCTAGCAGCAACAGACAACCTAACCTAGCAGCAAGAAATAACTAACATAGCAACAAAAGACAACTAACCTAGCAACAAAAGACAACTAAACTTGCAACAAGATACATCAAGAAAGAACTAACTTAGCAACAAAAGACAACTAAACTAGCAGAGATATTTAACTAAACTAGCAGATACAGAAAAAACAAAAACAACTAACATAGCAGATACATGTAAATTAAACAAAAACAAAAAAACAAAAAAATAAAAAAAAAAACTAGCAGATACAGATAACTATCGTAGCAGCAGGATAAAACTAACCTAGCAATAACGGACTACTAACCTAGCACTAACAGACAACTAACATAGCAACAACAGAATACTAACATAACATTATCTGACAACTAACATTGCAACAACATAAATTAACCTTGCAACCTCTTAGATCTAACATTGCAAAATCATATAACTAACATTGCATCAAAAATCATATTCATCTATAAACAAAAAAGATAAATCTTAATTAAAAAAAAGAAATGTTGATTACATAATAATAATAATTAAAAAAAGAAATGTTGATTAACATTGCAAAATTTAGCTTATTGAGACTGCATCCTACATACAAGTAACGTTGCAGCATTAGAAAACTAAACTTGCAGTGTCATATAACTAACCTAGCAAATGGAGGTAACTAACCTAGCAACAACATAGTACTAACCTAGCACTACTAGACAAGTAGCATTGCACTAACAGACAGCTAACCTAGCAACAACGGACTACTAACGTAGCATTATCAGACAACTAACTTTGCAACAACATAAAACTAACCTTGCAATGCATAAAACTAACATTGCATCAAAAAATCATATTCATCCATAGACAAAAAGATAAGTATTAATTAAAAAAAGAAATTTTAATGACATAATAATAATAATAATAATAATAATAATAATAATAATAATAATAATAATAATTATAATAATAAAGTTTTCATTCATCAACTATCAGCACTACAAACATAAAATTAAGATCAATATTCAACCTTCACCAAACATCAAACACAAAATTCAAAACCATTACAACTTAGTTTCCAACACTATCATCACTGCTTTCATCATCAGGCATGCCAGATCCAACCGCAGTTCTGGTTTCTTTCCTGCAACCATCAGTGCCAAAATGATAGACGATGAATGTGTTTGGACCTCGCAGTTGGAAACACATCATCTCCCTTCGCTGCACATTATTATCTTTGGCAAAATCAGCCCAACCATCTGCGAAAGCAATGTTGGATCCAACACGGTCAATCACAACTCTCCATTTGAAGGCATCATCACTTTCATTGTTCTGCAAGGTGCATTGTAGCGGAACAAAATCCTTGATGACCCGGCGAATTGCACACGAGAGATTCTATAAAAAATGAATGTTGATAATTTTAAATTGATGAATTAGAAACAAATTCGAAAAAAATGAACAAGCAAGTAATATCAGAATAGTTAAACAAGTCGTTTACCAGAGTGTTGCTACCGGGGTTCAGCAAATAAATCACGAATCGGTCTGTGTCCAGCAATCTAGGCGTGTAGCCAGCCATTTCCAGCACATTATTCCACCTAATTAAGCGATTCTGTTGTCACCGACTTTCGTCAAAGTGAAAGAAGACGAAATTATTAGCACTGGCCAGCTTGAACAGCAAATAATCACCAGATTCTATACGGTTAGCATGAACAAATTCCTCCTATCCATGAGTGAAGCATATACTTTCATCCAACATTAGGTCCTAGGAGCGCCCGCATTTAAGGACGTCACTATGGACTTTAACAGAAATGGGGAGCCGCATTGCGCCAAAAAATGGATCATTGGCAGGTGGAAGCGCCTATTAATGTCAAGCATCATCAAAATCAAGTAGCTCAAATAACAAAATGCACAAAAAAGCAAAAAAAAA